ATTTGCTTCGTAGGAGCAGTTTGACAGTTTTGACTGCCGGATCCTGGAGGATAGAAGTAAAAAGGGACGTGACGTCACTTGAAAGGAGTCGTACTCTTTTGAGTTTTCCCAGGAATTCGTTCGATAAGCAGACCCTGACAGGTCACACTTGATCCCCCCACACCAATCACATGTCCAACATATACATTCCTGGAAAAATATCGTCAGCGGCGCAGACACACCCTCGATACAGAGCGCCTCACGTGTTACCCACAAGCAGAAGCCGCCGTTTTTTCTTCTGAAAAAGCAGACAGCTTTCTCATGGCAATATATCATGTGCGTCGAATAAAAGTACGTGCTCTTCCACCTCTCCAGCTTTTGCTATTTGGTGAAACAGAACGTAGTCTGTGTGTATGTGCTTACATTTTGTGAAATACCCTTGACGCGTTGGCATTTAATGCGCCGTTGAGCATCTTCAGTTTAGTAATGGAAACGCGCAGAGACGGCACAGACGAAAGGGTAGTGGACTCTGTAGACCTGGAGTGCACCGATGACAGTCAACTTGATCCTTTATTCGGTGAAGAGCGTAGTCAAGTGTCATGAAGTTGCCCGATCCTCAGCATGGAACGTTTAGTTTATTCAAATTTTGTTGGCTACTGTAGTTCACGGGATCGGAGGTCTATAAAAGTTACCGAAGGTGTCTTAGAGGCCGATTGTCAATCACAAAGATATATTCATACATGTATGCATGCTTAAGATTTAATGAACACGCTTAAGCTTACTTCAGGAACGCTAACCATTAAGAATTCATTCATGACTAAAGGGCTTTATTTGTCCACGGTAGCTTATATCATCCTCCTTAGCCACCGCTAAGCGAGGATAGTGTAAGACGGAAAGGGTGTAAAGGGGGATACTTACCGTGGCCAAGAAGCAAAATTTGTCCAAAAAACAGGTGAATAAGTAAAGTGCCAAAACATTTATTACTCATCGGCTAATCGAACTTCAGTTTTTTTTCACCGGACAGCCTACCGATATGGAGAGAAAGTGGTTCCAGTATGGACCCAACATGCGAACTCATACTAGACGATCTTCGGTCATCTTAAGCACGCGTTGATTAATGCAAAAGAGTAAAAGATGTTTTTCGGAGCTTAGTAACACACTGAAAAAAACATAAAAAATAAAAGATAAGACAGTGAGCTGGATGCCTTACTAACGCGTGATGGATATTTCCCTCAAAAATCATTCAAAGAGGGGTTGCACTTAGTTGAAGTCAGAGACATGCATTATGTTAAATTAGGAACTAATGTTCGAGACATCCATTCTACTTCCAATTTTCTTAAAAACTGATTTTTTTCTACTCAACATGTAATACCCACTACCTATTTAACCTTAACTGGGCTTCTTGACCAAAAAACGGACTAGCGATCACTGTGTCTGAGAAGCCGCTTAGTTTGACTAGAGAACTTTCTTCCTGAATTTACGTATATTTCCTGATTTTCTTGGTGTATTTACGAGCCCTTGGTCATGTTTAAACTTTTATTATGTGCAAGCAATATAGCTAGAATATTGGGGTGAATCCTAGTTTAGGTTCCAGAAATTGTTTAAATAACCATATGTTTTCTTGCAACGAAATAGCGCACCATGACCAAACACATATTTAATTTTGTTACTTAACTATACTTTATTGCGTGTGACGTATATGGACTTACTTATACTCTATAGTTTATCGGGTTTCTTAATATCCCTGTAAAGAAATTAGAGGTAAGGATGTCGTCTACTTCAAATAACCTGTGGTCCAATTTATTGGTCTGGATTTAGACTAATATAGTTCGCGTCGCACAACAAAATTACGTTAGTTTATTCCATTTACTTTATTTAGCTCATTTATATTTAATTTCAGTTTGCGGTTTAGTTTTCAGTTCATTATTATATTTACTTTTTTCATTTCAGTTTTAGATTATTCTTAGTTAACTGAGTTTAGCTTACTTAAGACAACGTTTTTAGTTAGTTGATTTTAGTTTTATTTATATATCTTTTAATTTAGTTATTCCCAATATCTGCACATTTTAATAATGACACGCTTTTTGTTGACAAACATTTTTTATTAGGGGGTTTGGCAGATTTACTTAATTTTAGTCGACCCAGTTTTGCAAAAACTCGCGGCATTTGGCGAGATTCGAACCCGCACATTAGAGAAGGCCTTAACTGGAAGCCGATGCCCTACCAGTAAGTTACATGTGCCACGCTTTACACCGTGATTTTAATTACATTTGGATCAATTTATCCACCAAAATTTATCGCTCGTATGGTATCCACTAATCCGGAACAGCAAGTTGACTGCCCAAGCAGGATTTCCTAAGCAATCATCTAGAA